GCTCCTGCCAACCTAGCAGTTAAAGCATGTCAGAGTGCAAGTAGATAAATAGGTATCACTCCAATGGGAAGGTAAATGGCGTTTCCGTGTGCTGCTCTGGTTCGCCAGAAGCGGCTTAGTCATGCTGGCCACATGACCCGGAAGCTGTACACTGGCTCGCTCGGCCAATAAAGCGAGATGAGCGCCGCAACCCCAGAGTCGGCCACGACTGGACCTAATGGTGAGGGGTCCCTTTAGCTTTACCTATCTAGGAGCAGGACACTGTTTACCTGCCACCCAGTTATAAAATGTGGGTATCGCCCCACACAGAAGTTCTTGTCTCCAATATTTGCTTGTATACCTTCCAGAGGGTTAAGGCACCTTGGGTGCTGATGATCTCTGAAGACCAAAAAATGGTTTAGATGGACTTTACAGTGAAGCAGATGAAGGGAGCAGTCCCCGCACCTGACCTACACGCATTCATTGTACACGGATGCCTGAACAGGGCAAGAGTAGTTAGAAGAGGATGGAAGAAGCCAAAATAAATGTTAGCATCATGAGAGAATTAATACACTACTGCTATGAGAAGTTTCTACTCTGGCTGAACAGGAACAAAATGGGTGTTGCTGCCATAAGTATTCTGCTCCACATACATTTTTGGGGATCAGCACATTTCCCATAAGTAACTTGTCACATTCACTTTGATGACTCAAAAGCTATCCTGCCTTCCCACTGCGTCTTCTGCAAAGCCTCACCTTCTTATGTATCTCCATCTCACTGCACTTGGAATTTCTCCAAATGTCGAACGAGACATATGCCCCTCAGGATGCTAAATCTCTGAGGCTAAATTGTCAGAAAATCTTATGCCATTGTGTGGGAAATCATATGTTTGCCAACTACGTGAAGCAACATCCTCTTAATGGCTCTGAAGATTTAATTAAGTTGTGCCTGTTTAAAGAGACATCCTACTGTGTGCTTTTAAAGAAAAACACATTAATGTTGGTGGGGTTGGATTCCCCCCCCCTCCCTCAGTGACACCAAAGATCACCTGTAACCTGAGCTGGCTCAGTTAAGTTTCCCAACAAGGAGAAAGGCCAGCAAACAAGGAGCAAAGAGATGGTGTCGGTTTCAGTGACAAAGTTCTGCATAGTTAGAAAAAGACAACTTGGAACATTTTCAAAACATAGGCAGATAAATGACTCCTATGAAAAGGAAGTGTGTAACTTGCTGTGACCTGTACACAATGCTTTCCCTCTTTGCTTTTCAAGATAGAATCCCCCTTTTTCCCCCTCAACGAAAACAACTTCTTATGCCTACTATTAAGGACATTATTAGAAGCAGGTAAGCATTTTGTCTACATTTCAAAACAGCATGCCATAACAATCACAACATTTTGCTGGTGATAGGCTCAGTCCCAATAATGCAATAAATCTAACATTTTTAGGGAACGTGCACAAGTAAAACAAAGTTTTGAGGCGGGGAAATAGATTCATTTAATGCAGTTAATTTATTCAGTTAGTCAGTCACAGAAGCGACTACTTCAATTTTAAGAATACAATACAATTTAAAAACAACAACACTAAATTTTATTGATATTGGGAAAATATTCTGAAGTGGCAGGGTTTTTTTAAAAAAAAAACTTTAAAAAATGAATGAGCCTTTGGATCTAGGTTTCCAGCTCTTTCTTGGCAAGCTCTTTTATAAACTTTTATGTATATGTACATGCATTATCTAAATGCATTATCTAATATGTACTTGTATTATCTTATGCACATGCATGTCTAAAAGCTGCACTTCTGCTCCACCCCAAAGTAAACTATAAGACAGCCACACTATGTGGTGGCCTGTATACAAGATTGACCTATTTATAAGGTCTTCCCCTCACAAATAAGGAGGAATGATTGCATGAATAAAGCCATCATGGGAGGAACACATTAGGAGAGGAATTCAGCATCAGGCTAAGTCGATCGTTCCACCAGGGCAAGCATTTTGGCTTGCCAGATGAACTGATTCCCCTCTTCTCCCTCTGCACACTGTTTTGGGACTTCATCTGGTCTCCCAAGCCAAGGGGGATGCATACAGGGGAGAAGGAAAGCCCCACGGCACAAACAGAATTCCTTGTGCAGGACTCATTGGGTGAATCCCACCCTAGGTCTTCTTCTCCCCACACAACGATGGGAAGACCTAGCCCCACCTCCCTGGCAAATCCTTATGCTTTACCCTAACCCTTCCACACATTGTAGGATAAGTGTTAGTGGCAAGGAGTCTGCTCTACTCACTGCTGGCATGATCAGGGGTCTAAATTGCATGGAGAGCCTCCACTGTTACAGCAGATTCTTTGCTGCAGACATTGACCCTCTGATCAGTGGTGGGTTGGGGGTGGGGCAGGGCAGAGCACGGCAGGGCATGTAGACATGACAAATGTTGCCAGGCAAACCAGCATGTCATGGTATTCTAAGCACATAAGGGAAACTGTATAGAGCAACAATAACGTATTAATTACTTCCGGTGCAGTACACTCAGCCAACCCGATGTACCTCAGTGGAAGCCTACCAGGATGTGTTTGAACCAGGTCTCGGAAGCCTTTAAAAATGGAGTTTGGTGCCTGGCGTATCCAAATGTGTTACTCTCATTGTTCACAGCAGGGTTTCATTGACTGACCAATTCTTGCCAGTGTTTACTGTGGTATGGTAAGTTGTCCATATGCACTGAAAAACTGGAAATGTGATGTGTAGTGAGTTAATCTAAAGCATTTGTACTGTGCTCTCAAATTCAGTCTAACCCACCCACATTTTTACACTCCTTCAGGGTCACGAGAAACATGTTTTCCTCTAAGACGATCCCCCCTTTTTTACATTGAAGAAAGAGTATAAAGGCATCGAAACTACATTTTCCCTCACCAGCTTATCAGAGAACCATAAAATTATGCAAAAATTGCATATACCATTATCTGCAAGGATATATTTTTCATTAACTCTGACAGTGGCATACAAGCTCTAGTTCTGAGAAGTGTAGTGATATATCCATTGTCTTCTCTCTCTTTTTTTAAGGCTGGCAATGAACTGAAAACTTTCCTAAAAATCTGGTAAGCAATAAGTATAGTTTTCTAATACCATTAGCTGCTGTTTTAAAGATCCCAGTTTTCAAGTGAATGCAGCACTTATAAAAAGTGTCATAGATTGACAGCCTTTGAGCATGAAGTTTTCTGTTTATCTTCACTATAGAAACAGAATGTGTATGCTTACACTATATTGGTCTGCTAACACTTCAGCAAATCACTATCACAAGGCCACTAGAATGGCCTTGTGGTTTGACCTTTATTAACGTCCCTAAGCACACACACACACACACACACACACACAATTTAAGCCTGTAGGCCAGAGACACCATTTATCTGATCTGTGTCCGAAGACATCTTGTAAGTCCAAGGTCCATCCACTGATAACGGTTATAAGCTGCTGTTTATGCACTGTTCCTAGCTTTGACACTATGCATGTACTTTACAATTATTGAGCAGTTAGAAATCGTGCCTTATAACTGATATGAAACACAACATGCATTCACTGTTCGGAACATATACAATGAAATTTGGATAAGCATGGTTACAAGTTGCTCACCTGTATCTTATAATGAACTGCTGGCTAGGAATTTACAAATGAATTCCTAAGATGACAGGCATAGTTTAAGTGGTGCTTGAATGCCATTTTTTAAAATGTTCAGATCCAGGTGTAACTTTCAAATGCATGCTAGCCTTTAAAATTGCAGGACCACAGGATTCGAAAATGCCCAAAGCCCATATAATATAATAATAATAATTATGTTTATATGTTTTCACCACCAGCAAGTGGAGCACTTAAAATAAAATAGAATAATGGCCATAGCACTTTATACTGGAATGACACGTGGGACCAATTACACTAAAATGTAAACCAACATAAAATCTATTTAAACCAATAAGAGGGGGAAAGCAAGAGAAAGGGAAAGATATACCAAAAAAAAAACAACAAAAAAACAACCACCCCTAACACTGAGCTCCCTAAGGCATCTGGTGATTAAGAGTGTTTCAGGTTTCTGGATGTGAAGAGGGAAAAGCCAAGATAAGTTCATCAGGAGCAAAAGGCCACTTGCCCAGCTGCTCTTTTGTTCATGTGGCATGAGGGTTCAGCAGTTGACTGGACCAAGCATTAGGCTCAGGCCTTGCACAACCCAGCCAATCAGAATGAAGCCTGGCATATATAAGGTGGCCATATGTTCCTGACGAGCAACAGCAGAGAAAGAATCTCCTGGTACCAGACAAGAACAAACAGGCATGGCCCTGTGGCGGGCATAACTTGTCCAGCCCTTAGCAGAAGCATAAACATTGGTGGGCAGCACCATTTACCTTTCAGGAACTCTCTTCGTATTTGCTGCCTTCCAAGGAGCTGCAGAACCCCTGTACGCCATAGAATATTCAGGGTCATATTTTATGACCTGCACAGTCAAACTTTGCAGGGATGCCTCACAAAAAAAGGAGTGGGCTATTAGAGCATGGCTGTTTCATTCTCCTCACTCTGGGAAGAGGGATTGATTGTTAAACCACTGGGAATTGTAGCTCTGTAAAGAAAATGGGGGTCTCCTAGCTCTCAGCACTCATAACTAACTAGGTAAAGGTAAAGGGACCCCTGACCATTAGGTCCAGTCATGGCCGACTCTAGGGTTGCGGTGCTCATCTCGCTTTATTGGCCGAGGGAGCCGGCGTACAGCTTCCAGGTCATGTGGCCAGCATGACTAAGCCGCTTCTGGCAAACCAGAGTAGCACACAGAAACGCCATTTACCTTCTCGCTGGAGTGGTACCTATTTATCTACTTGCACTTTGACGTAAAGCTCCCAAAATTCTCTGGGGTACGCAAAGCGTGTTCTCCTTCATGGAGAGCACGTGTTGCGGTGGGGTCTGCTGAGCCACCCCTCTGTTACCAGGCAGGGTCTCTAAAGATGGCCTGGGGCAGTGATTGGTTCACTGGGTTGCTGGGGTAAAAGTTATGTTGCAATTTTGGTGGGAGGGGTAAAATGTTTAAATACTCTGCACGCAGCCTGGAGCTTTCTCTTTGCTGCGTGCAATGGATCACCTGGAGCACTTGGACCGTCTGGAGGACAGTGGAGCGATCTTCTCATTGTCTGGTTACATTTCTTTATTTTCCCCTTCTTTTAATCTTCTCTAGTCCCTTAATTAATTTAATTCCCCCTTTTTTTTCTGTTTGATTTCCCACCCCACCCCTTACCCTGCCCTTTGGGAAGATTCTCCCTGTACCTGTGAGCGCTGCCTGTGCATAATCCTCCTGGGCTTGCCTTTCCCAATAGGGAGAGAGCCCCCATTAGGGGCTTTCTTTTGCAAAAAGGTTTCCCCATTTTCGCCTGTTTAATTGTCGGGCTAGCCAGGGCTGCTCCCAGCTTACCTGGAATCACTTTCATTTATAGTATCCCCATAGGTTGGCTTTATTTTGGGTGCGTGCAGTGCTGTTGGCCAAATTTTAATCTAGCCTTGGGCGGGAGCACTGTTTTGAGTTCCTTTAATATTGCAATGAGACAAAAAAGGCAGAGAGCAGAAGCAGGGAGGCCTTCACGGCCTGCACGGCCTGCACATATCATTCAAGCCTAAGCCTGCTACAGTTAGCAGTACAGTGAATTCCCAGCTTACCTGGAATCACTTTCGTTTATAGTATCCTCATAGGTTGGCTTTATTTTGGGTGATTGCAGTGCTGTTGGCCGAGTTTTAATTTAGCCTTGGGCGGGAGCACTATTTTGAGTTCCTTTAATATTGCAATGAGACAAAAAAGGCAGAGAGCAGAAGCAGGGAGGCCATCACGGCCTGCACATATCATTCAAGCCTAAGCCTGCTACAGTTAGCAGTACAGTGAATTGTTAAGTTTCTGTAACATGTGACTCATTCTCTCTATAAGAATGTATCTGTTGTTTGCAGGCTCACTTGTTGCTAGTGTATAGCTTAGGCAGACAGAGTGGAGCCAGAGGCTCTCTGTGCCTCCAATGAGCACTCTTTGTATGCTCTTTAACTATGCTGTTTCTGAACAAGTTTATTTTCTTCAAGTTTGTTTTTCCCTGATAGTGGCGACTGCCATTTTAGAGACAAGCCATTGTGGCTTAGTGGCTAGAGTACAGGACTAGGACCTGGGAGACAGGGTTCATATCCCTCACTTAGCCATTGTTATAACAAGGCAAAACAAGCTGCTCCTTTTGGACTATTTTGTTGCTGGGTAGTTTGGCCCATTTGTGATATTGCTCCCAAAAAGAACTTTGGGTTTCTTGAGGAGGTGCTTCCCTCTAAAGGGCAAGCAGGGGTACCTGGACATGCGGTGGGCTGCCTCGAGTTTGTTATCTCATTGGAAACATTTATGTCTGGCCTAGCAGGTGATCCTAGGGCTTGGCCCGCTTGGCCCTAGAATTTGATGGCCTCTGGCAGCGTTTCTGGCCTGAATAGCGTCCCCATGTGGTGCACAAAGCATTGGTTTCACCTGTTCCTCACATTGTTTAGGTTTTTCTTTTCGCAGACTATGACAGGGCCTTTGCAGATGCCTCCAGAGCTTGCCTCTCCTGCAGAGGATGACTTGTTGATGCCCCAGGTGCCTTCTTCAGGAAGGAAGCGTCTTCAGAGGCAGGAAAAAGCATAGCAGGGATGATGCTTACACCTCCTTGCAGGTAAATCATCACTGGGCTCTGATGATGATTCAGACATCACCTTGGACCTCTCCAGGGGTCAGGGTGAGGCTGTTCCAGGTCTTTAGGGAGCATCCTGGATAGCTCAGCTGGTCAGCGTATGGTGCCGGTAATGCCTAGGTTGCAGGATTGGTCCCTGTATGGGACAGCTGCATGCTCCCTCATCACTTTACCCGGACACTGAGGTCCAGCGCCGAGGGCCTTTCTGGTGGTTCCCTCACTGTGAGAAGCCAAGTTACAGGGAACCAGGTGGAGGGCTTTCTCGGAAGTGGCACCTGCCCTGTGGTACACCCTCCCACCAGATGTCTACTACCAGACTTTTAGAAGACATCTAAGGCAGCCCTGTTTAGGGAGCTTTTAATGTTTGATGCATTACTGTATTTTAATATTTTGTTGGAAGCTGCCCAGAGTGGCTGGGGAAGCCCAGCCAGATGGGCGGGGTACAAATAGATGATGATGATGATGATGATGATGATGATATTGTGGGAGAGTGGACTAGATGATCCTAGGAGTCCCTTCCAACCCCACTATTCTATAAGTGGTAATTCACTATGATGGGAATGTTAGACGCAGGGCTGCCATCATCCCCTTAGCTCGCTAGGATCGCAGGGACGGGGACATGTGGACCACTTGCGCAGCTCCACATTTCAAATGGAAATTCCCTGAGCAATAGAACCTGAAGCTGGTATGCAGGAAGCTGGCCCGGTGGCAGCTTTGTTGGGACTTCTTTAGGGTCTCTGGCCAGTGTTGGCCCTGTAAATTTACACATCATGGTGGCAACACAAGGCAGGGCTTCTTGCCCAAGCGGGGGCTGGCAAGCAATAACTCAATACCTCTCGCCCATATTTCCATAAAAATATCTCCCTTTAAAGCCTGGCTAAAAGGTTATCTAGATGCGTCAGTAGCTTTGTGCTTGTGGGAAGGGTTTTCCCCAAGGTTTCAGGATTCCTCTGGCTTTTCAGCCAGTGGCTCAGAATACAGCAACTCAAAAGTCAGTTAGAGTCTGTGGTAGCCAGAAAGTCTGTGGTAGCCAGAAAGAAGGTTAGGAAGCAGCTTGCATTGGGACGTATGGTGGGATCCCCTTGATTCTCCTTCTAGTCCCGATTTTCATTTATCCCCATTGGGGATCGTCCCTAAAAAAGCCCCATATAATTCCATCTGATCCATATTTATCGCACCCCAAAGGCACCTCAGTGAATGATGCTATCCCTCCGGAATTGTTCCGTGAAATATGCATCTTTGGATCAGGCAGTTGAGCTTACCAACAAATTGGAGGAGGTGCCTTGTTGGCATTATGTGATATTGAATCGGCTGTTAGGCTGCTGCTGGTTCACCCTCAAGATTTTAAGTAGTTAGGCTTTAATTGGATGGTCCTTATATGGATAAGGCGATGCCAGTTGGTTGCTCAATAGGCTGTGCAGCACTTGAGTCCTTTAGCGCCTTTCTGGATTGGACATTGCGAGTCAAGACTCGTTTAACTGGGGGTATCGTTATGTGGATTATTTTACTGGCTGGTTCATGTGACACCAGCCTCTGCTTAGCTTACTAGATGCCCCTTTATTCCCTGAGGAGCTGGGTGTTCTGTTGGCAGTGGAGGACAGTGGCTCCTACTGCCCCTTTTAATGTATTTGGGGGCTAGCTGGATACCGTTGCTCAAACATCTGCTTGCCTGTGGAAAAGCTGTTTGCCTTGAAGGATGTTATTCTTGTAATACTTCCTCTGAAGCAAGTGTTGCTTTGTCAGATCCTATCATTCCTAGGTCGGTTAAATTTTGCATGCAGGGTGGTTGCTCCAGGCTGCCCCTTCCATTCCTGCTTGGCCAGGTGGTCTCATGGCCCGGTGTCCCTTCATCATCATGTACAGTGGCCTTGAGCCTGGCAGGGCAAGGCAATCACATGTAACCTAACTTTTCTTGAGTTTTCCTCATTGTAGTGTCAGCGCACATCTGGACTGAGGAGTTTAGGGACCGTCAGGTCTGTCTTGGTCTGATAACCAGGCAGTGTGAGAGTCCTGGCAAAACGGTCTTCATGCTCTGGCAGAGTCTTTTTTTTTTTTTTTTAATTTTTTTTTATTGATTTTACAGAGAAGTTTTAGACAATACAAACAAATAAAAAGACATACAAACATGTATAGTTTCATAACCTTTTTTTCATATCCCTCTCTTCTCGGACTCCCCCAAACCTCCCCTTCCTACATCCCAATTTCCAAAATTATTTCAGCAAATTCTAAATAATTTTATCAAATATATTTTTTCTTATTCTTTTCTTCAACTTAATCTTATGTCGCTGTAATCTCCTTTTCTTTCTCCAAACCTCGACATTTTAGCATTCCTCAATTTTATAATAGTTCTTAAGATAAATTTTAAATTTCTTCCAATCTTCTTTCGCCGTCTCTTTCCCCTGCTCACGGATTCTGCCAGTCATCTCAGCCAATGTCATATAGTCTATCACCTTCATCTGCCACTCTTCCAGGGTGGGTAGTTCTTCTGTCTTCCAATACTTTGCAATGAGTATTCTTGCTGCTGTCGTAGCATACATAAAAAAAGTTCTATCTTTCTTTAACACCAATTGGCCGGCAATGCCCAAGAGAAAGGCTTCTGGTTTCTTCGGGAAAGTACATTTAAGTACCTTTTTCAGTTCATTATATATCATTTCCCAGAAAGCCTTAATCTTCGGGCACGTCCACCAAAGGTGATAGAAAGTACCTTCAGTTTCTTTACACTTCCAACACTTATTATCAGGCAAATGATAAATTTTTGCTAGCTTGACTGGGGTCATGTACCACCTATAGATCATTTTCATAATATTTTCCTTTAAGGCATTACATGCCGTAAATTTTATACCTGTGTTCCACAACCATTCCCAGTCAGCAAACATAATGTTATGACCAATGTCCTGTGCCCACTTAATCATAGCTGATTTAACTATTTCATCTTGTGTATTCCATTTCAGCAGCAGATTATACATTCTTGACAAGTTCTTAGTATTGGGTTCTAACAGTTCAGTTTCTAATTTTGATTTCTCCGCCTGGAAGCCAATTTTCCTGTCTTGTTTATACACCTCCATTATTTGATAATAATGGAGCCAATCTCGAACTTTGGGTTTCAATTTCTCATAACTCTGTAACTTCAACTTATCTCCATCTTGTTCCAAAATTTCCCGATACTTTAGCCATTCGGCTTCCATATTAAGCTTTTTCAACTGCTCTGGCAGAGTCTTCGCACTGCTTAAGGTTTAATATTGCGTTTCTGCTCACTTTATTTCGGGATCATCTAATGTTTTTGCTGTGGCTCTATCCCGTTTTTTCAGTTGGAGAGCTTCAGATCCTGGGCTCTGGACACCCAGCTATTTTTCTGGAGCTCCTGTGGCACTTGGCAACAATTAATAATTATGAGGAATCGTAGCTTACGTTTCCCCATCCGCTTTCAGGTCTTATGAGGCCTGGACTGATTTCTTAAAATTTAGCTGGTAGTCCTCAGCCATTCAGAGGAACCTGCCCCCATCCTCTGAGCAGGACCTGCAGTAATTCGCCCACCTGCTGCAGATAGGATGCAGTGTTAAAACTATCAGAATTCAGTCCGCTGCAATGTCTGCTAGAGTAAAGCTTTAATTTTCAGAGACCCTTCTAAAAGTGTGTCATGCGCAGGGTCTCAGAAGGTTGGAATAGGCTCTGACCTTCACAGGACAGCAGGCAGGAAGCCGGTCAATCTTTGACCTATGCAGTATCTGCAACAAGTTGAGACTTGTTGGCTGGTTCAAGATCAAGACGAGACTTATTTCAGTATTCCATTGTAATTTTGGTGTACTGAGGGTTGGGGAAATTGTGTTGGAGCCAGCACGGGGCTGAGAGTTTGGAGGCTTATTGCCTCAGGACTTTTCCTTATCTGCTTTGGAGCTTGTCATAAGTGTCTGGAGCTCTAAGTCAGACCTAGTGAGCAGGGTTGCCACCATCAGGCTTCCAGTCACAGGTGAGGTGGGCCCTTGCCCTGTTATTGGATACCAAAAATATTTGGCTTTTCGTTCCCCTGGGGGCTGGCTCGATCCTAGTGCACAGAAATGGGTTCCGGTTCGACAGGCATCTAATTGCTCACGTCGTGCGCCAGTTATTGCAGCCTGCAGCTTGCCTACCGCTGAACACGCCTCATTCCTTCCAAATAGGTGCTGCTGCAAAGGCTGCGCATTGGGGCCTGTTAGTAGACAGGATTGTGAATACGGGTCATTGGAAGTCTGACGCTGACAAAGGTTATGTCAGGAAGCATCGCCAATGATGCCTGTGCTGATGCCTGTCTGTTATTCCTTTTTCATAGGAGCAGCTGTGCGCATTTGGATTGTCGGCCACAGCATCATGCACTGAGCTGGCAAGCACCCTGACGAGTCTGGACTGGGGGCGCCATCTCGGCCTTCCTGCCCATGTTTCTAGCTCCAGTCCGCATCTGGATTGTGGGGCACAGCATCGTTTACTGGGCTGGCATCAGAGCTAGGCAGTCTGGAAGGGGACTGGGTCTTGGCCTCCCGCAGCATGTGCAGGTGTTGTGGATGTCCAGGCGCAGAATGCAGTGGAGCGAATTCATCCCGCTAATTAAGCAGAGGGTGCTTCGGATGCCCCCCATGGCAATTGTGGTTCAGCTGGGGGAGAACGATGTGGCAACTTATGATTGCTTTACTTTGCGCTCCACGATTCAGAGAGACTTGGGTGAATTGGTGACCTTAATACCCACAGTTAAAATATTTTGGTCACAATTGCTGCAAAGGCGCAATTGGCACGGCATTTCTCGACCTGAGGCTGCTGAAAGGGCCAGGAAGCTCATTAATTCTGCAGTGTGTAAGAAGGTGGCGGATTTGGGTGGATTGGTTATTTCCCGCCCGGATATTACCTTCAAGGCTCTGGCCCTTTACCGCAATGATGGAGTACATCTCTCTGTACTGGGGAATGATGTTTGGTTGGATGCGGTAACTGCAAGGTTGAAGGTTGGGTTGGGATTGTGAGTGGTTGGCGGCGAGCGTAAAGGGCTCGATTGGCGGTTAGGCATTGGTTATAAATTGGTGGAGGAGGGGTTAGGATAGGCTGGGCCTGCCCCTCCATGGTTGCTGCGGAAAGGGAATTCCGTTAAAGGAATCCTGGGGCTTGCCATCTTTTCGTCCAATCCCTGGAATGGGACTAGGGCCGGCAAGCCTTCGGGGAGCATGCGGATGAGAATTGAGGGTCTGTGGTACCCAGCTCCATTTCTCTCCGACTTGCTTTCCCCCGCACTGTCTTTCGGTGGTGCCCGGAAGTCAGTTCTGTCCCCAGGCGGGGGGACAGATAGTCTTAACCAATGCCTAAACAACCACTCACGGTTTTGTATTTAAATAAAGTTGTGGCCAAAATTATGCCAAAAACCTTAAACAAAAATTAAGTGTGCGTTGTGAGTTATTTGGGGGGTGGCTTGGGGACCTTGACACGCAATGACTGTTCAAAGTATCATAGTGCTTTAAATGTATGATATGAATGTGGCCTCGGGTTCTTTACATGGCTCTTGAATTCTAGCCTGATGACTTGCCTGCGTACTTGATGGGATAGCATCCACACATAAATTGAGACCAGGAAACATGGGGGGGGAGAGATTATATGGACCCTCCCCACAAGTCTCATCTGCCCAGTTCGCACAAGACATTGCTAAGACTCGTAAGACTTAGCAAATGCTTGCAATATTCCTCCAAGAGTCATGGCAGTTCATCACAGCCCTGTGAGACCACTATGTCTTTCAAGACCTAAGGTGGACGTAGCTCGGTGATAGAGCATCAACCATGCATGCAGAAGTTCCCTTGTTCAGTTGCCAGTGTCTGAAACCCTGGAAAGCTGCTCTCAGTCAGGGTGGGCTGGGGAATCTGTGCCTCCAACTCCAGTGCTGTTGGACTCCAACTCCCATCAGCCCCAGCCAGCATGGCCAATGGTCAGAGACAAAGAAAGCTGCAGCTCAACAACATCTGAAGGGCCACAGTTTCCTCATCCCTGGCATATATAATCCTGAGCTAGATGGATGGATGGTCTGACTCAGGATAAAGCTGCTTTCTGCATCCCTCTTCCTGTCTTATCTGCAATACCGAAAGGGTGCAAGCAACTTGGAAGGATAGTAAGCCTCTGCTTTGGGTATTTAAATAGTTTTGGCCAGCTCTGATCTGAGTTCACATATTACTAAGATAATAACTAGATGCTTCATGAGTTGCGCGGCCAAAAATAACAGCCTGGCATCTCTTCCTCCTCCTCCTCTCTCTTTCTGTTACTGCCTGATGAAACAGAGTGTGATGACGCCATGTTTCATGTTCTGTTTTATCAGGTAGTACCGTGCCATATAACATCTAGTTGTTCTCTTAGTAGTATGTGAAGCAGGTCCCAAATCGCACCAGGGCTGGAAATGGTCCAAGCATTTGGGCTATTGTGATTATCCGGGGGGAAGGGGCCATAGGCCATATCTGAATTGCGATGTCCATTTCTGCCTATAAGTTATGGAAGCATTTGTATATAGATCTTTGATGTGCATTAAAGCCTTTTTTCCTAGACACTGTGTTATCCCTCATTAAAAAAATTCTGGGCTCCTGCAAATGTACTTGCAAGTGCATTGGCAGGAATAATTTCCACCTATGCAAAGAAGATGTCATTTAAGAGAACAAGTTCCCATTAAGGCAAAATCTCCTGTGTTGCTCCTGTCATTCTAGTTGAGGAGGAAAAGCTGGTGCCGTCTTCAACCAAGGAAAATGTTTTCTTGACTGTAACACTGAGCAGCACACAACAAAACCTGCTTATCTGGTGAGATGACAAGGGTATTGCCTCCCACGCAGTTCTGTCCAGGCATTTGATGCGCTTTTTTTCTCCATTATTTTAGTAGCCCGCAATTACATTCCTTGCCAGTCATAAGGATCAAACTGAGCTGTGTTCTTCGTTTCGTAAGGTGGGATAATCAGATGTGAGGTCTTGATGAGCTGAAGATCTTTTAGTCTATTCTCAGATTAATATGGTAATAATCATGGGATGTGAACCTGAACAGAATCGTATTATCTCCCACGAATGCAGATTGCTTTATGTTAAGTTAGATTGTTAAGAGATTTGTCATCAACTTTTCTTTCAGCCACCTGCAAGCTCTCTAGAGTTGTGTCTGCTTTATTACACAACCTTGCATCAGTACTCACAGATCCCCTGGCTAGGGAGGCAAAATTTGATTGCAGAATGTATCCATCTCCCAGCATCCATAACTTCCCTTTCCATTGTCATTTCTAAGGAAAGTGTTACCACAGGGCTCCCCAGCCTACCGGTTTGTTTACTCCTTCCTAATGGGTCGCTCAAACAACACATCTGGTGAAGAGTTGATTTTCAATTTTGAATGAAATAAGGATTGTAGACCAGGTTGTCAAACGAAAGCAAAGCAGGTGACACAACCGAGAGCCAGAGTAACAGGCTCTTCATCTTTGCTATTTGCTTCTATTTGCGACTCTTGCTACCTTCGTTTTTTAAAGAACTAATTCTACGGGATGTCCAAAGGCATGATGTAATCTTAAGTAGCAAGTGCTGACTTCTTTGCACAGTATCCTCCTGTAAAGATTCAGCAGGACCAAGTCCTTGATGGATCTGACAGATTTTTATTGTCTTCATGCCGATAAGAAAATGCATGCCCAGATGCATTAAAAGGGAGTGAGTCGCACAAAAGATGGACCCCTGTAGCTATTCTACAAATGCTGCAGGAAGTCGTTTGATAAAACTGTTTAAAGGGGAGAAAGTGAGGGTGGGTTGCATATGTGGAAGAAAACCGCAACAAGGAATTCTGGCAAGCCAACTGCTGGAAGTGCCACATGCTTGTCAGTGAACATCTTGGATCTTGCCTGCACTTCACAATTCAACCGTTTTTGAACGGACCTTTCCAAGCGCCATGATTAGAGGTGCTGGCAAAGCTTGCTGAGTGTGTACTGGCAGATGAGCTTTGGAGACTTGCTAAAGTCCCCTCAGTTTGCATGTCCTAAAACAATACAGAAACTGAAACACGGCTATCCTTTGAAATTCACTATTCTCTGCATTTTGTGATGCCATTTTCAATTTTTTAAGAATGTGTACCTTAGGAGGAAAATGTACACAATAATCCATATATTTGTGAAAATAATATACAAAAATGCATTGAACGTGGGGAAATTGCTTGCAAAAATGTGTATATTTGGCAAAATTGCAGACAAACCTATATTAGAAGAAGAAGAAGAAGAAGAAGAAGAAGAAGAAGAAGAGGAGTTTGGCTTTGATATCCCGCCTTTCACTCCCTTTCAGGAGTCTCAAAGCGGCTAACATTCTCCTTTCCCTTCCTCCCCCTCAACAAACACTCTGTGAGGTGAGTGGGGCTGAGAGACTTCAGAGAAGTGTGACTGGCCCAAGGTCACCCAGCAGCTGCATGTGGAGGAGCGGGGAAGAGAACCCGGTTCACCAGATTACGAGACTACCGCTCTTAACCACTACACCACACTGGCTCTCAAGGAGAAACGTGGCCAAAAATGCTGAAAAATTTTTTTGGGGTGAAGGCTTTTTATAAGATCACAAACTGATATGGAAATGGTGTGTGTTAGGAATGTACAGTGGTGCCTCGCAAGATGAAATTAATTCATTCTGCGAGTTTTTTCGTCTAGCGAATTTTTCTTCTTGCGAAGCACGGTTTCCCATAGGAATGCACTGAAAATCAATTAATGCGTTCCTATGGTCAAAAAAAGTCCAAACAAAGCCAAATTTGGTACAAAAAGAGTTTATTAAGTGCTCCTTAAAGTCACACATACTGTAAAGAGCATTTCAAAAATTGAAGGAACAATAATTTAAGTTTCTAAACATGACAGAAAAGCATTTAAAAATAACCAAAGTGTACTGTACTGTACATACATTTTCTAAGACTCTGGGGGACAACTCGAAGAAGGTTCCTCTTCCACTCTTTGCTTCTTGCTGAAGAACCTGTCCATGGTCTGCTGCTTCATCCGCCTTTTCAGCACCTCCCTGAAAGACGACATGACCCTCGTATCAAAAGTGTTCGCAAGGTCACGTATCAGGTCCTTGTCAGGGTGGTGCCGCTGTGCAAAAGCCTGCACATCTTTCCACTTCTGGCAAATGTCCCTCAGTTCTTTGGAGGACAGCTGTTCCTCAGTTGCTTCCTCCTCTTCCAGCGAGGCCTACTCCTGTGCAGCCTCTGCCTGCAGTTCGACCAGCTCCTAGGTGGTCAGCTCGTGGTCATGCTCCTCCACCAGCTCACTGACGTCCTCCTCTGTGACCTCCAGGCCCATGGTCCTCCCCAAGGAAACAATGTCCTGCACCACTGTTGACTCTGGTGCATCAGAGTCACTTGGTGCCACACAGTCCGGCCACAGGCTGCGCCAAGCGCAATTCAAATTTCTCTGGCTGATCCTGTCCCAGGCCGTGGTGATCATCTTCAAGCAGGTGACGATGTCGAAGTGGTCCTTCCAGAATTCCCGCAGGGTGATGTTGGTGCAATCAGTCACCTCGAAGCATCGCCTGAAAAGCTCCTTGGTGTAGAGTTTTTTGAAATTGGCGGTGAGCTCCTGATCCATCGGCTGGAGCAGTGGCGTGGTGTTAGGCGGCAGGAACATGATGTTGATGAAGCTGAACTCCTCCAACAAGTCCTCCTCAAGGCCTTTAGGATGAGCAGGAGCATTGTCCATCAGAAGCAAAGCCTTCAGCGGCAGGTCGTTGTCCAGCAGGTACTGTTTGACAGCAGGGCCAAAAGCAAGATTGACCCAGTTCACAAACAGCACACGTGTGACCCAAGCCTTACTGTTGGATCGCCACATGACACTCAGCTGCTCCTTGTTGACCTTGTGTTTCTTGAAGGCCCGTGGGTTCTCCGAGTGGTACACCAGCAGGGGCTTGATCTTCAGGTCGCCGCTTGCATTGGCACAGAAGAGCAGGGTCAGATGGTCCTTCATAGGCTTGTGGCCAGGCAACTTGGCCTCCTCCTGAGTGATGAAAGTCCTTTTGGGCATCCTCTTCCAAAACAGCCCGGTCTCGTCGCAGTTGAAGACCTGCTGTGGAACGTAGCCCTCCGTCGTCACAACCTCCAGGAACTCCGCTGCAAAGTCTTCAGCCTCAGGAACATCAGAACTGGCAGCCTCTCCATGCCTGACCACGCTGTGGATTCCAGATCTCGTCTTGAACCGGTCAAACCAGCCTCTGCTTGCCTTGAAGACTTCTGGCTCGCCTGAGGTTCCTGGCTGTTGCCGGACGAGGTCTGCGTGCAAGGCCTTGGCCTTCTCACAAATGACGGCCTCAGTCACTGTGTCCCCTGCACGCTGCTTCTCTTCTAACCAGATGAGCAGCAACTTCTCCACCTCCTCCAGAACAGCTGGGCGGTTCTTCACGATCCTGGTGACTCCCTTGGCTACATCAGTCGCAAGGATCTTCTCCCTCATCT